TAATTGTTACGAAAAAATTACCTTAGAGTCGAGTATCTGTCGCAACTTTGTCCCTAATGCTCGATTGTATTGGATTGTACCCAAGACTTGACATTTGAAAATACAAACATAACATTCGCGTTGTAAGTCCAAAAATACTAAACACAGGAAGTAAAAAAAGGAAACAAGGTTTTAAATCGTAACCGAGACTCGGTAAAATAATATACATATTATATAACCAGGTTCAACGGCCTGTTATCCAAAACTTGAGATAAATGAACTAATATTAACTAGGTATATACTGAGGATTCAATCAAATTGATTACCTAACTACTATATTTAAAATCTACCGAATTATTACTCTAATTTAATCGCATATCATCTATAGGTATAGGTCATGGTTCATCATATATTATCACACGATGGTTATCTTCTTTTATGCGATTTTGTGCAAATGCCTCGGCCAGTAGGTACCCATCATTTGCGTGTTGTATCACAGTAAAATATTATAATGCGACTAAGTTTTGAACCGTGACCGTAACACGATGGAATAATTATGTATAACCAGATTCGACCCCGTTACCCTAAACCCGGGAAACATGAACCCGTTTTGACTCTCTGTAGCAAGGATGTACTTATAATTAACACAATTAACTACAATATTTAAAATGTGTACCTACATAATTATTGCACTAGCTTGATCGTACATCATTTATAGGTATAGGTCATGGATTATCATAATTATCATGGTCATATTTTCCAACGGGATTTCGTGCAAATGCTTCGGCCAACGAGTACCTAAGCGTACCTCATATATTGTATAACATAATATTATTATAGTGCAACAAAGTTTTAAGCCGTAACCGAAACTCGATAAATTAATATAAGTAAGCAGGTTCCACCCCGTTACCATAAATCCGGGAAACGTGAAAAGGAGTACAGTAAAAGGACGATATCTGCTGAGGGTGCATGTACCTACCTATAATTATTTCGAGTAACTACAATATTTAAAACGCCATATACTTAATTATTGCACTAATTTAATGGTAAATCGTAAATCATTTAAAGATATACATGACATGGTTTATCATATTATATTATTACCTTTTCATGGTTACGGTCTACGGGATTTTGTGCAAATGCCTCGGCCACGTAACACATAGCAATTTATCCGGCGTTGCCCGGAAAAACTTCTTTTGGTATATTAAGTATACATTGGTGTATGCGCAAGAGATTATTTTTATCGATAAACTTCTCGGAACAATTCTTATTGTTGACCTTCGGACAAAAAATATAGGTTACGGGTAGCTGGAAACCCGCGGGCCGCCATGAGCCCGTGCCGTGCAGCACAATACACGTATCGGCAATGAATGATTATATTTGTTGATTACTCCACTAAGACCCAACATTTTTGAAAATCCTTACTCAATGCACGGTGAAAATATGAGAAGCACCTCTATTCCAAATTTCAAGTCCGTACGTTGCATAGTTTTTGAGTCACAGCGATCAGTGACTAAGTGGTATTCGGATTTTATATATTGTACAGATTATGTTGGCCATCGGACAATAGCAACAGGTGTCGGAAGTATTGAATTTGGATTGCATAACCATAGTATTAGCCGTCTTGTATAATCTAGGCATAGTATACTGATTTTAATAAAAATGATCAACCTGCGCTGATATGACATCGTACGCATGTAATATGTTCGGAAACCATCCGCACACGTACCAATTCCTATATTTTAACGAAAGATACTATGGTAATATACGGTGTCGGGAGAATATAAGTACACACCACCGAGAGAATGTGGTATCAAATTACCGTCATTCGTGTTTGGGTATGTTCGTTATATTATGTTAAATAATTGTCGGAATACTGAACGATAGCCTATACCTGCCTGCACTGCTCTTTGTCCATTATGTAATCCGGTAATCTCGACACACATTCTCAATATACCTCTCTGCCTTACTGATATTTATATAAAATACATCTACTGGTATCATACTAGCAACGTAATTATATTATCGGAATACCGGAAATCAAACCATGCATGCCGTCATAGCGTAGTGCCGATCGAAGATTTCGGCGGCGTTCGATTTGTGTAATCGCATCGTATGATTTCATTCTATAATAGTTAATATGCAAGGATATTTATAGAATAGCCTAAATGGCTATTAGTTATCAAAAACTATTGTTTCTAAGGTTATACACATTTCGTCGAACAGACACGGAGTATTAATTACTTCGCCGTCAGCAAACGTTGCCTCAACTGTTTATTAATTTTTAATCATCTCTATACTTGTAAGAAAATATTACAAACAATATAGGAATGGAGAATATTTAGATGTCACTTGTCATATATTAATACATAAATTATAATATAATTAACAACAGGAGTTTTATACCGGGGAGTGTCAACAGGTGATGTAAATTATGATTTTCTATTATTATTAATTCATATTGCATTCAATAGTCATGTATCACAAGCAATCGGGGGAAAAATATTAGTGATTTCAATAAAATCAATATTAGGGAGAAACAGATAGTACGTTCAAGAACAAATAGAAGGTTCTAATGACAACTCTACTCTCTAGTAAGTGTTCTTTGTATATCCTGTACACGATATTAATTTATGATGTGAAGTTATATTAATAGGTACCTATTTAAATATTAATTATTACATTTTCGTCTATTAATTGATCATTATTATTAAATTACTTGTCCGAAAAATGTCAAATTCGAATGATTATCGTCTTATGATAATACCGACTACACATTATTTATTACATGACTATGATAAAAATGCACTGCTATTACCAAAAAACAATGATAAGTGACGATAATTTTATTTGAAAGCCTCGATTTTCAACGAATATAGTATCAGACTTGGTAGAGGTGGTTTTAACCAAAAAAAAATGGTATATTATATCAATTTAAACGTAAATACTGACATGCATACATTTGAAATCAACCGCCAGATTATACAATGTGAAAAATCGTACAACCGTACAGGATATACGTAAGCTAGGTAGTGTTTAGACATTTAGCGCCTTAACGATTAGCAATCAGTGACCAGTGTGTGGGTATATATTAATGGTATTGTTTTCGAGTCACTCGCGCTTTCCGCCGTCGTATAATATTATTATTTTGTTTATTTAATCTCGATTTCATCCACGTGCCATTATAATATTATGGCGTTGTGTTAACACTTCACCTAATCGGAACCACGTCAGTGTAATAATTTAACACGACAACAAAAATAATAATAATAATAATATGATAACGTCATGAGTCGCTTAATCAGAGAGACGTCACAGCCAGTGAACCGAGGAATTCATCATTCATAATAATATATTGGCAGGTGACACGAAAATGAGTACATGAATATGCATATCGTATATATTTTATAGCAGCGTACCTATACTGTAACATTATCATAATAATTGGACGATTGGTACACATTACGACTGTAATGCAATCGGATGGCACACTACGCGTACTACGTAACGTGAACTCGTATGTTTTCTGTATTGATAAGCACTTGAATTAATATTATCCTTTACGAAACTATCGATTATTCGACGCTAATCTGACTAAAACGAGTATCGCACTGCGGTGCGGTCCCGCGGTATCTATACATATAATGTCGTAATAATTATAATATCATTGCGAATTATTGCGGAATTAATGCGGATACACGTTGCAGCCATTAAACTATAACGTAACATTGCTTGAAAACGGTTTGATGTAAAAAAAAAAACAAAAATATCCACATAAACGGTAAACACTCGAATGAAAATATCGATACTCCGTCACAGCCGTTGAGGTGGTTCTCAGCGTTACTATAATTTCGTTTGGCAGGTACCACTTAAGACGTGTACACTGTTGCAAGAACTACGAGTGAGTAAGCGTTTAATGCAGTGAAATGCACAAGAGAGCGAGTAAAATTAAATAATGTGCGTGCACAATTATTATTATTATTATTATAAATATATTTTGATTGGGCACGGCTTACGACGATACGTCATCGGAACGGTCGGTGTTGTTCCCGACGAACGAGGACGTCAATATAAGGGACCCACGCACGTCCGGTGATTTTAAGTCTTGAATCGTTTTTTGAGTTCGATTTATTTCTGTATTTACTGTCCGTACCCGGGGGAAAACATATTTTCGCCCAGACAATACTTAAAAATATTACGTTTGAGACACACATAGATAAGCGAATTCAGTAACCGTAGAGCTTGTGCGTTGGTAACGACGGTATTATGAATTATCACCGTTAATATATTTTTTTTCCTTTACTAAACCGAGTTTCCTCCGCGTACCACTTACGTACCGCTAGTGGTACCGCGCTTTGCACAGAACACCGAGAAACGCTGCACTCTAACAGCAGTATACCAACGTTATATTCCCGGCGACGTGCCCACGTCGTTTGACGCGCACGGTAGCAATACGGTACGTCGGTACACGGATCGTTTAATAATAACAAATCACGATTGATAGAACGTTGTCGACGGATAACGATCGCGTAGGAATGAGAATTAGTACGATAATCATACGATATTGTTGCGACGCGCGCCGACCTGCCCAACGAGACGGTCGGTTTCATCACCGCAGCGCCACCGGATCATAAAATACAAAATAATATGTACCTACACCACCTACCTACCGTTCCCAGTACAACAGTGAATTTCGTGTTTTTTTTTTCCGTCTCCCGACTACCCCGTCGATAACCCCCCCCCCCCCCACAATTCCCACCCAGCCACCGACAACCACCGGTACGCACCGCACGCACCGCCGTTACGTTCGAATTTCCGAATCGGTGCTCGGGACGCGTTTGGCGCTTGCGCAAGCGCAACACGAACAATGCTAATAATAATGATAATCACGATGGTAAATAGTGAACAATAAGTAATAACGACGACACCACCGACAACAACAACAACAACAAAAACAACAGTTGTCGTTACCGATTGTTATTGTTATTATTATTATTATTATTATTATCATTATACGTTACCTCTTGCTGTCCAACATGTTGGTCATTCCCATGTCGATGATGAGTCTGATGAAGTGTTCGGTCTCCCGGTCGGACCATATGTACCGTTTCTTGACGTCCATGATGAGACGGACCGCGGTGCTTGGCGCGCTTTTTCACTGGCCCCACGGGGAAACCCAGGCCCGGCCGACGGGCGCAAAAAGAACGCTGACGGAAACGCACGCGCGCGCGCGCACACACACACCAGACCGCTGAAGAACAGTACGTAACGCGACACGGCGGCGGTCGTCCTCGCACTGGTTCACGCGCGTGGGGCCCACATCGACGGCGCGGCGCGGTATCGAGCTGGCCGGCTCGGTCCCGGCCCCGGTCGTGTGCACGCGGAACAGCTGCCGTCGCCGCCGCAACGGCCCGTGCGCATGCGCGAGCTCTGGTCCCGCCGCGTACGTACCGTCTGCCGCGTCGCGCCCGTGCGGGTGCGCGTGTGCGCCGCGAGCGCGCGTGTGTGTGTGGGTACCGGACGGACGGCTGGCCGACCGGCCGCCCGTGTCGGCCCAGTTTCGGGACGGACCCCCCACCCCGCTCCCGTCGACCCGGCAGCCCGACAGCCGGCCGTCGACGACCACTCGGTTTTTTTTTTTTTAATGCCTTGGGTCACACCGTCCCCACCCTCCGCCGCCGCACCGCGTGAGTGCCGAGTATCGCTCGGTATACCCAGTGACAACGGGCAGCGTCTGCGGCGGTAACCGGAATCGGGACCCCAACGGACTCGAAAGCCGGTGCGCTCGTGTGTGTGCGTCAACGAATTCTTTCGACCCGGCGTTATTCCAGGTATATAGTGTTGTTGTTGTTGTTGTTGATTTTCCTACGACCCGATGTGATAATTTTATAATATTATTATTACTATGCAATGTTATTATTTTTGACAAAAATCGTTTTCCGCGTACGCGATAAGACGTGACTCGAAATAATAACAAGTAACAACGGGTGACAGCCAAGTCTATGCGGCTTCGTTTGGTCGTTTTTGTGGTGTGGGTTTCGTTGATGGCTGTGGATGGGGGGGGGGCACATCTCATGTGTTACGCCGATTATCTGCAGCGGCGTGTCCGTTGGCTCGCAATAATCTCAAAATCGTTATCGATTATTATTTTTGTCGGAAAACGTCTTTCGGGCATTGACGCACTGCTGCCGACGATCGCCGATCGAACCACATCAACTCGATAGGTTAAGTTCCTTTTAACCCGCGTTCGGACAATATCACAATGTTAATAATGGTCGTTCACAGATAAAGCGCAATCGCATTATTAATACATTAAATTATTTATTTCCGTCTACAGAGCACAATATTACAACTCCCGGGCAAGTCCAACATTCCGTGTAGAGCACAATAAAATTTAACTCCCGAGTCCCGACCACGTCCAACATTCCGTGTAGAAATCCACCGCACTAATATCGTGGTCAATAAAGTCGTCTGAATCGGCTGTTGGCCGAAGGTGATTCAACACTGATTTCGATTTTATTTCTCTGGCCAACCTCACTCATGCGCTATTACTTTAATTATTGATTATTATGAGTTATTTTATTTGTGTAGATATCATAATATTACGAATTAGTGAATTACTCAAATCATATAGTTAATTGCTTCAATCGCATTGTATAGGATAGTATAGGTAGGGTTACCATAATGTTTTTAGACCAAATCCGGACATCAGTTCCGTTTCCGGGGGAGGGGGGGTAAAATTAAAGTTAAACAGTATTGTTCTTTCATTAATACAATTTTATTTAAATCTATAAATAAAACGTCTACATAAGAGTTATTAGGTTAAACATGTTATAATAATTAATTAACTTATACTAATAAATAGAAATTAGATATTATTAATTTATACAGAGTGAACCCGGAAATCTGTCACTAAACATAACTTTTTGTATCAATATAACCACGTTAAACGGTTACCTTTATAAAATCCGGACATTTTTCAAATCCGGACGCCAATCCGGACAGGTGTTTGAAATCCGGACGTATGGTAACCCTAAGTATAGGTGTAATTATTAATTATTATTATTTTTTTAATAATTTATCACACACATTGTCATGTCGATGTTAATGTATTATGTATCTGTACTCGAGCAGTTGAGCCCATACCGCAGGTATTAATTGAATACAAATAAAAAAATACTCGTACAGTGGCGACACGTGTTTATAATCGTGTAACTGTTATAAATCAGTGCTCGAATTTTCAAAAAAATATACCCTATATGTCACCCTGACTTGGTTTTTTTAAAAAAAAACGTCCCTATCACTTTGTATGCGCTGTTCAACGGTTTCACCCCTCTTTTTTTCATTCCTATATAATAAAATATTCGTAAATAATCAATTTAAAACATGGACAAATTACAAATTACAATTTACTATATAGAATTTAAGTTGTGGTAATTTCTTTATTATATGATATTATTTATAGGTTATTAATAAGGTTTATACTTCAAATTTTTCCCTTACAAAAAAAGAAAATAGCGATCCATGACAACGGTGATAATATTTATATATTATTATTTATTATTCAACCACAGTTATGACCAGTGCGTTTACAGATCAGCTATACCTGCCTATCGATATTTATTTTATTTAAATCATAATAATTATTAATGAAGTATTCAATAGGTAATAGATAAATTATTATAATATCTGGTACCTTTTACATTCCATTTCAAATATGTACCGTCTAGCTCATAAAAAAAGTAGTAGGAATACTCTAAAATTTCTGAAAAAATATTTGAGGTACTCAGTTCCCTTGCATCCCCATCAAGTCGACCTCTGTGCCTCTTTCTTTAAACCAATTTATAATATACTGTATAGAAACCTGTATTAGACCACGATGATGGTAATCTTAGACCTTAAGTAATATTGTCGTAATTTACCTTAAAACCATAAATATAATGTCAACAGAAATCACGCAAATAAAAAATAATTAGTTTCAGTAAATTATTTGATTGAATATTAGACAGAAGTTCACCTTTCTAAATATATTCTATCACTTTATAGCTATGTTTACCTATAGTCGTGTTTGATTAAAAAATTAAATTAAATTAATCAATACTGTAATCGCCACTGACAATGTGGTTAACATGTAACCTACAAATTTCTCGTTGCATACAGAGTAGCTTCAAAAGAAGATCCATTAATTCGTGTTGAATGCAGGTATTCATTAAACTGGTTTCAACAAAAACTGTGTAAACTTGCCAAGTTTTGACCTTGAATTTTACAATTTTAATAATAAATACACTATTGCTTCTATTAGTTTACTCATTTTAAACTAAGAAAAATTCTTAATTTAGCCTCGAGTATTTTCCATTCGTATACAGCATAAAAATGATAAAAAGTATCAAAATATATTTTTTTTAGCTCCATATTAATAAAAGTTAAAGCTATCATAAATAGTGATAATCTAATACAAAAAATATGCACAGATAGGTAAATCATTTTTAACTTTTGGAAGTATAAAATATGATTACTTAATAAATATTTCCCGAAACATTAGCTACTGCGTCTTTATAAAGTGGTTTTTTTTTATCCTATTCATATGAATTATGACTTTGAGCATAAAATATATTATACAGTCTACAGTCATCAGTCACATGTAGCTCAGTAGCTGACATATTAGTAGCTATAAACAGCAACAACACTATACATAACTGAAGCGAAAGTAGTCGAATACAAATATCTACTTATAGTCACACTATGTATACTTAAAAAGATTGAAAACAACTGTCTTACCTTCTTATAACTTAGTACGTATAGGTAGATTTACTGTTGTAATGTATAAAAAAAAATTCAGATTTTTCAGAAACAATTCATACATTTATTACATATTTTATTGTAGTGCAAATTGATGTTTATATGATCACAATAATTATTACCGTTTGTTTTATCTGTCATTTACGTGTAAAAAAACTTTATGATATTACATTGGCGGAATATCATAAGAATTCGACTTAAATAATGTGAATAATATATCATATAAATTATTACTCGATCAAACCCACCACAATAGTAAACAAGCGGAACTTATGATTGTAACTTTGCATTATTCTTTCGTAATAGGTATACCTAGTTTAATAATCTCTATTTTATAATACAATTCGTATGCGGTACCTATTATATGCATATCATTTAAAACATAAACACACGTGCACATTATAATTATGCACTGTTAACAAAACGTGTAAAACTATAAGACGTATATGCATGTATTAATTATACATTATACATTTATCGGTTAGGCCAAGATACTTGAAAAGTGGTAAAACGTGGTTGAAAATTAAATATTCTGACCAAAACATAATATTTTATTGTACAGAAAATGATCGATTGATTTTTATATTGAAAAAATACACCCTTATTATTGTCACATACATGTAGGCTACAATATTGTAGTCTAGTTATTAGTTAGTAATCAAGTTGTTGTATGCAATTATTGAATATTAACGTTTATTTTTTTGGTGTGTACCTCCAATATATTATATAAATATGAAAGCGATAAGAAAAAACAATTAATAATTTGTTTACTTGTATTACACACAATGTGGGATACAATATAATATTGCCATTATTTAGTATTTTAGTGCCTATAGCTGGGCTTTTTATACCTGTACTCATTTTTTTACAGACGATCTAAATAACGATGCCCAATGGTTTTTATTCCTGTTACTTCGTTCGAATAAATTTACATAACATTATACTTCGACCGTCTAGGCATAATGTATAATTTATAAAGTGCAGTAAGTATTGTACAAAATATTTTGAACTATTGTACAGCGTAGCAGGTATAACGTTAGATCGTGCGGTCGCAAGGGTGCACCGCGTGTGATGATGATTTATTTCGCGGAGACTTTTATGAAAACTCAATCGAATCAATCGCAACGCCGAGGGGCTGTCGAAGTAGACCGTGTCAAATAATATAATGTTGCGGCAAGGAGAGCAATAATGAGAATACGGCACGCCGTGGGGTCGTTTAAAAATGACAAAGTGGAAGCTCTGGCGACAACAATGATGCACGGAATACCTCCCGTCAATCCGGACAGAAAATCGGCACAATGAAAAGTCCACGAACCGTACAAGTTTAATTACATTGTTGGTACCGGTTATTAATATTTCGAGAATATATATATTGTATGATATGTTGTAAGAGATATTTTAATATAACTCGTGCATTTGGCAGTGGCAATAATAAAAGACCCAGTTTTATTAACCCTGTACTCTGTCGACTGTCACGCCACGCCATCCGGTCCAACGACCGTCATCCGTTTCGATTAACACCGAAAGTCATGTAATCTTATTACCCTATTGAATTTCCGCCGAACGAAGAACCTCAAAC